GGCGTGATGGTGTCTCTGCGGCTAAATGATTATAATATTCAGTCAACCTCACACACACAGAACCACAGGTTACTGCTGTGTAGGTCACCAGGTCCCTCAACCCTAATCTTTGGTTTTGAAACGAACGTGCGTCTCAAACCGCTCTACTGTACCATCTCTCAGTATTTACATGCTCTCAGTTCTGGCACGTCGCTGCTCAGTTGGAAGTTAACGCCGTAGCACAGCTTGTTTGATCGAGGCATCTGACACTACAACTGCCGGCCTGACAGTCAACGGTTTGCTTTTCCCAGCAGGCTGCACGTAGGAAGCGACGTTCAGAAGTGTGGGAAGGATCTCTGTGTGGGAGTGTGCTGCGCGGTCAAGAGTGAGGGAGCGTCTACGATTCATGATCATTTCGGTTTGGGCAGCTGCCAAAGCTGAGTCCGAGAATGAGGAGGCTGGCCTGAATCACAGTGGACTTTTAAATCTCGCAGTGATCATTTATAGTTTTCATTGTGCTTTTGCTCCTTGTTTGTGCTGAGAACGCCAGTTTCAGGTCCTCTGGGTTTTACAATAAGACTGGAGCTGTTTGTTAAATATAATGAATATTGTGAAAATTATAATTTTGATAGGTTAAATGTTTTTACGGCGTTCACTGCAACCAGTTTAAACTGTTTATTCATGCTCACTTTGCTGAGTTTAATAGTTTTGAATGTTTTAATAAAAATGCTTTTACATATTTATCACATCATGTCTCCAAACATCGAAACAAAATCTTCATATTAGCATTTTTTGATGATACAGAAACAGCAATATATACTTTGGTTCTACCCCACAAGATAGAGTTGTGATGATTAAGAACTTTGTGTCCGATGCCTCAATTAACCGTTCAAAAAAAAGACAATTTAACCCAGAAGTAGTTTATGTTCAGGCAGCAGCAACATTTAATTCTTCAACCAATACCTGTTTTCATTATCAGTTAATTTAACAATTGTTTGATTAATTAATCCGTTCGTCTATACATTCTAAAAATAAATAATGAAAGACATCCATCAGCAGTCAAAATACTAAAATATTCCACCTGAAATGTAATAAAACAGACACAAATGAGCAAATTCTTAAAGAAAATGTTGTACTAAATCTAATAACAACCCACTAAACCATTTGCATGTCACTGACTAGCTTTTACTTTTTTTTTTCCTTCAAAAACATCTTTCACAGTTCGTCAATTACCAGCTCATCTCCTTGACCTTTACATGTCCTCATGTCGCTGCTGCTGGATCCAAAACTGTGCATACAGCTGTGCAGAAAAAAACCCCCACACAGCCTTTACGCAACATTTGTGTATCACCCTGTTTAGTTCCACCCCATCATCATCACATTATGTGGTTACATTACATCATAGCCACTGCAATACCTCACGCCAGACATTATGACAACACGTTAATCCAATAATAAATGCTGGAAACACTGTGCAAACATCACGACTCCCGCTATACGTCTGGCAAGGTATTGTCAAAGAGAGAGAGCTGCGAGCAGTAGTCGGTTATTTTATTGGTCGAGCGACAGATTTAACTGGCAGCTCGGCTGTTTTGAAGGAACTGTTTTGAGAAATATGATAATTAATTTCTTGGTATGAGTTTGATGGGAAGATTGGTACCAGACACGTCAGTGCAAAAGGTATGAGACTGGAGACTGGAGCCAGCAGCTCGCAGTTAACTTAGTTTAACATGAAGACTGGAAACAGTTAGTCTGGTTCTGCTCAGTGGAAGCAAAATCTGCCGTCAGCGCCTCTAAATCTCACTAATTAACATTTTGTTTTTGTATATGATACAAAACTGAAGTGTAAAAACATTAAGCTGTGGTTTTATAGAAGGTTGTATGAGAGACTACTTCTTGGCTGGATGACAGTTTGGAGACGTCACCTTGACATTTTATAGAGTAAATGATTAGCCAAGAAAATAACCAGCAGATTAGCCTGTAATAGAAACCTTCTTCAGTTGCAGCTTTAAATGCTCTTGCTGTCTGAACACGAGCTATTTCATGGTTTCTTTCTTTCTTTTTTTTTTATCCATGTTTGACTTGTTTATGCAGACATGCAGTTAAAACAGACTAACTCACTAACATACAGATGATGCTGTACTCGTTAGATCTGTGCTCCAATCAGGTTTCAAGTTTCACTCTCTTGATTTAGCCCATGGATTTAAAGGCAAACTGGATATCAGATTACAAAATGTTACCTCATTCATTCAACAAGATTGCTCAGTGGTGTATAACAAATAAAAAAAAAAACTTCCTAAGTTTGTGCCATGATGTAGCCCATCTGGTTGTTCCAGCATCCTTCTCTAGAGTGTGGGACAATGTTATTGGACTGAAAGGATCAAACCGATATATATATATATATATATATATATATTTATTTATTTATTTTTTTAAACGTATTTTGTGAGGTTTGTATTGCTCAGAAAAATAGTCACTTTTTTACAGACAATAAAGCAGGGACTGACAGGGTCACTAACATATCGGCTAAGTCAGTTCTCAGTCATTTATCTCTCTTTCATTACGTCTAGTTTCAAAAGACCAACAAGGTGATGGGCAAATTCCAGACTTGAGCACCAATGTGTGAGACATCACAATCGCTACATCCATTTTTTTTTTTTCTTTTAAAGATTATTTTATTGGGCTTTTTCGCCTTTATTCGACGGGACAGTGTCGAATAACCACCTCAGAGATGCATCATGGGAAATATATAATATACTCTGTCCAAAATCATCCACTCACTCCCTACTCACTACATAGACACCTATGATAAGAACTATGTAGGGAGCACCTCGGCAAAGTAACATTTTGGACACTAGTTAAGCTATTAATTATGTCACTCGCTAGCTGCGATTTGTGCCGTAGTAGCGTAGTGCAAACACATTAAACTGATATAGGGAGTACATTTGCAACTTAACATTCAGACAGCACTACAACATGGCAAACACCCTCTATGTCGGGTATAGTGGGTGATTTAGGACATGAAAAGTAGTGTACAGGTGATGGTCAGTAACCGAGCAAAATGGATCATGCATTGCGCAAAAGGAAATGCGAATGAATGAGAGCGTGAAAACTTGTCATTAAAATGTTCGTAGTGTCCCGTTTATGTTTTGTTAAATTTTATTTTACCAATTTCTTAGCTATGCTGTGAATTTGCGTTTATACTAGCTGCTACGGCGCAAATTGTGGCTAGCGAGTGACGTATAGCTTGAGTAGTGTCCGAAATGTTACTTTGCTGAGGTGCTCACGACATAGTTCACTTTACAGTGGTCCCTATATAGTGAGTAGGGACTGAGTTGATCATTTCAGACACAACCAATAACTGGAAGGAAACTATCCATCCATTATCTATACACCGCTTAATCCTCACTAGGGTCATGGGGGGCTGGAGTCTATCCCAGTCGACTCAGGGTGAAGGTAGGGGACACCCTGGACAGGTCACCAGTCACACCAAGCACACTCACATTCACACCTACGGACAATTTACAATCACCAATTAACCTCAACATGTTTTTGGACTGTGTGGGAGGGAGTCGGAGAACCCGGAGAGAACCCACGCTGCACGGGTAGAACATGCAAACTCCGCACAGAAAGATCCCGGGTGTCCTCACAGGGACGCAAATCTGCGACCTTCTTGCTGTGAGGCAACGATGCTAACCACCTATCCACCTTGCAGCCCCTGGAAGAAAACAACTGGGATAAATTTGCTTTTATTTATATATTTATTTATTGTCTGCCAGCACGCTTCCAAACTATTCACCTATAGGTGGCGGTATTTCATCTGCAAGCTGCTTTTTTTATCAACAACGAAGAAGAAAAAAAAGCGCGTCCAATTAATAAACTGCTTGATTAGCCTGCTAGCTTTAGCTTAACTTTAAAAGAAACCTCAGCTGCAGCTTCCGTAGCACTAAAACCCGGGACATCACAATCGCTACATCCATTTATTTATTTTTTTTTAAAGATATTTTTATTGGGCTTTTTCACCTTTATTCAACGGGACAGTGTAGAGAGACAGAGAAACGTAGGGAAAGGACATGTAGCAAATGAGTCATTGGCCGGACTCGGACCATGGACACTGCGTCGGGAACTATAGCCCCTGTACATGGGTCGCCATCTTATCCAGTTGAGCTACCGAGGCGCCCAGCTACGTCCATCTTTTAAATGCAGTCCATGCGTGCAGCACATGATGAACACGGAAGTTGAACCAACACAGTTTGGCCACAATGCCGAGACCAGCGGTCTTGGCATCCCAGTCGACTCAGGGTGAAGGCAGGGGACACCCTGGACAGGTCACCAGTCTATCACAGGGCTACACTTAGAGACAGACAACCAAGCACACTCACATTCACACCTACAGACAATTTAGAATCACCAATTAACCTCAACATGTTTTTGGACTGTGTGGGAGGGAGTCGGAGAACCCGGAGAGAACCCACGCTGCACGGAGAGAACATGCACTCCGCACAGAAAGATCCCGGGTGTCCTCACCGGGACGCAAACCTGCGACCTTCTTGCTGCGAGGCAACGATGCTAACCACCTAGCCTCTGGAAGAAAACAAACTGGGATAAATTTGCTTTTATTTATATATTTATTTATTGTCTGCCAACAAGCTTCCAAACTATCCACCTATAGGTGGCGGTATTTCATCTGCAAGCTGCTTTTTTATCAACAACGAAGGAAAAAAAAAAAGCGCGTCCAATTAATAAACTGATTGATTAGCCTGCTAGCTTTAGCTCAACATTAAAAGAAACTTCAGCTGCAGCTTTCGTAGCACTAAAACCCCCCCAAAAGGCGGGTAAATGACAAGTGAGAAACAAGCAGTAAAGTCATCCTGAACTCCGTGTGAAGCTCCACACACACACACACACACACACACACGGAGCCCCACAGGACTAGTGGAGTGGTTTCTCCAAGTTGAGCGGAGTTGTGATGCTGCTGCCGCACAGCGCCTCTAAGGGCCGAGCAGCAGCTGACAGAGGAGGAGAGCCGCGGCGGGGAGAGGAGGGAGCGCAGAGGCACGGCGGACGGAGTGCGCGAAGGACCGTGACAGTCCGGAGTTTAACAAGAAGAAGAAGAAGAAGACACCAAAGTGGAACCTTCACCTGCCGCCGACAAAAAAACAAAACAAAACAAAACCCGCCGAAAGCTCCTCCGGTGCAAACATGCGATTTGCCAGACATTTGCGCGCCCGTGCTTCACTTGTGCCTTCGCTAACACCTTCAGGGAGTTCACATGTTCCTGCGCGTCGACGGGGAGGCGATGTTTAGAGCCGCACGGGAGTTTGGATGCGCGTTTCGTAGCTTTCTCTAAAACGGGGGGTAGGGGGGGAACAATTTTGTTGAATTCAAAACTGCGCCAAGGAGAGCAACCGCGAATGTAGCCTTCAGGGGGGCAAAGAGAGCGACAGAGACAGAGAGAGAGGAAGCGAAACGCGGCTACCTGGTTGTGTCCTCCTGCGGTTATCCTCCTGTGTTCGCCTTTCGCTTTCTCGCCTTGCCGTGTGGAGGAGCAGGAGGAGGAGGTGGGGGGGATGCAGGTGAAGAAGCACCGGGACTCGGACCGGAGCGGCGGCGGGGACATGCTGGAAGGAGACGGCCTCCGTAAAAACTCCTCATGCTTCTCAAATATCAAGATATTCTTGATATCGGAATGCGCCCTCATGTTGGCACAGGGCACCGTCGGAGCATACCTGGTGAGTACGACACAACAGCGAGGACTCTTGTTGCTGCACACTTGTGTTTCACCGGCTTGGAGTCGAAGAGGGGTTTGCTGCTAAATTAGACGCAGTGACAGGACACACAGAAAGCTTCAGGAAAGTGCAGCCTGCAGGACGGAGTCAGTGCTGCTGTCTCCTGTTTGTGTTTATTGTGAGGGGAAATATCTTCATTTAACTTTTAATGCATCACAGTTCAGCCACTCTCCACCAGCCATGCAGCACTTCCCAGAAAAGTGCCTCTGGTTGACATTATTGCTAATACTATATTTAGGAAGGCAGTAATTGGCTAATTTTACCCCAAATGTCATCCAAGGTCAAGAATCCCCATCCCTCCTCCTCACTGTTTCCCAGTTTTACTCACTCTTTCACTTTTACAATTACTCGCTGGTATCACAACTCGTATCTTCTTCTCACAACTTCTCTCCCCCCCCACAAAAGTGTGTGGTTTTGTGACGCCCTTGCAATGAAAAATGTCAAAACACAGCAACGTTTGAAAGCGCACAGGAACTCCTAATATAGATTTTGTGGAACAAAGCTCCCCGAAGTGCTCCGAAATCTTCCTCAAAGCGTCCCAGAGGAGCTCCAAGCAGCCTCAGGCAACCACTGTGAACATTTATGTCTCCACGTTGGCCGTGTTTATTCTCCAAGAATCGCACTTGATTCCTCAGCACCGCTCCCAATTAATGGACTGAACCCTTAAATGCCTCAGCCATATTTGGAGTGGAACATCTTATCTCCGCTGCTAGTGGACCTGCTGAGCATCAAGCATCCTGCAGCTCGGGGCAGCGACAGAGCACAGCAGTGCCCTGTGTGAACCAGTTAGGATAAAAAAAAAAGAAAAGAGGATCTACTTCTTTGTTGTTTATTTCAGGTAAAACAGACATTACAGGGTTTTTTTTTCTCATGGTTTGGACACCTGATCAAACAGTATATGAATCATATGCTGGAGGCGACGTTCCAAATCACTGACTTAGACAAACACATGCGGCTTTTTGGCCTTTGATTCGTCAGACCAGCAGAGCTAATTTACACGGAGCTTTATTTACACGGGCAGGACATCAGGTACCTGGCTCAGTGACAGCCTGATGAACTGGTGTCCACCTACATGAGCCGCTGTGGTTTCACTAATTGGATGACGCTACTTAAGAGTGTTTGCTGGAAGCGGAGGGGCCAGAACTCGACTATCATGGCCCCCTTTTTTTTCTGTGAGCTGCTTCCTGAAAAAGACACTTGCTGCGTGTCCTTATTTTGCAGCTCGACCTCAAGCGCACAAGCGCAGCAGAGATAAATCAGCGCTCTCTGATTGACTTGGCCGTTTTTCGATTCTCAGGAATTGCATTTTGTGTTAGTAATGAGAGCGAATTACCGGCTCCTTGTGATTTTAGATGTACATCAGATTGGATTGGATTCAGTGGCACTTGGACTGCAACTAACTTATATTGTCATGAATAGGGATGTCGCCATAGTAGGGTCCACACATCAAAATCCCAAAGGTATTCAGTTTAAAGTGATATTTTGCAAAGAAAAGCAGCATTGGAGAAGCTAGAACCTGATTGATGATACTAATTCTCTCTGCTTTTGTTTGACAAATAGCTGAGCTGAAATAATTCGTCTGCCAATGCGTTAATCGACACGTCATTTCAACTATAATGGGCATAGATTTGTCATTATAGAACCAGAAAGCATCACATGAGAGGTCAAGTGAAGCCTCATCTGAAGTATGTGAACACATTAAGTCGGTCAAGAGACAGAAGTATAGCTGCAGATGTTTCGGGTCGGTTCTTTTTTATTAAATCTCTATACCAAACAAGCATCTTGTTGCCCGACTCCCACCTTTGTGCACATCACTGTTTCCATTTGTGAGGCGAGGATGCTATATATTAATCCATGGGAAGTGCTGTTTGTGACTTGTGTGTTTGCGACACCTGAGGGTCTGAGATTTGTCGGTTGTGGTAACACCTTTCTGATAACGAGTAAATCCGACACTTCGGAGCTCGAGCTGCAAAGTGCAACCAACACCTGAACCTGAACTATGTCGCACCGAAGAGTCGGCTGCACGTTGCAAAGAGAAAGAAACTATTCCACTGAGCCTTAAAATCTCAGTCGATATGTTTCATTTTGGCACGGATATGGGGTCAAATATAATATATGTTGAGTCATTTTGTTCACTTTGCCAGATCATTTTTCACTCCTTTCAACACCTGGGTTATTTTTCATCGGTGTCAGTCAGCCCTTGGGCCTTTTTTGTTAATTAGTGAATAGGAGTAGCCTTTAACAGAGTACCTGACGTCATGATGTTTGAAGAAAAGCTACAGGGAAAAGTGCTTTGGTTTAGGTGTCGGTTAAAAATACACGTTTTTAAAAATTTACGGTTTTGCAACACACATATGCAGTCGCTAAAAAGGTAAAATATGAATGGCTGTTAAAGCAGTAAGCAATAAAGTGTGTGGCCGTGACTGGATGTAGCTTCTTTTAGACTCCAATAACACTTACAAAAAGCTCATTCAGTGCAGTTAAAGTACCTTTAGCTAACCTTCAGTCAACCTTCAGTAAGTTACACCTCATAAAACAGAGTGGAAATTATTCTAAATAGCCGAGACTTCAGTTATAAACAGCTGCTGTGCCATCACAAATAGCACCATTTCAGCACTTTCACGTTAGTGCTAAACCTTAATGTGCTGAAGTGAATGTCAGCAGTGAGTAGCTTTTTTTTTTTTTCTTTTCCCCCTGCGTGCTGATAATACAGCCCCGTCTGTACGTCCTGGAAAACGTCTGTGGAAGTTGCGATGTCTTCGCTCAGACAAGATGTGCTCTACTGTTCGGTGACGGCACGTCATGCAGCGTGATGGGGTTTGTTTTGTTGCCGTGCAACAGATTAAACATTTCCACAGCGTGAGTTGTGAGCCGGACAAAATGTGGCTGTGACTACTGACCAGTGTGTACTCCACTAAGTTTTTCCTATATAATTTACGCTGCTTTGAGTCCTTCTGGAAAGCTGCCTGTTCAAATCAGAGTGGAAGAGCACATTCATGTTGAACCTGCAGATGAGAGCATAACTCATGCAGAGGATTTCTGCTGCAGAAGCTGTCGGTCACACGCACTCGCTCAGGCTTCCCATAACGGGATGGGACCTGATTGGATTGGATAAGGGCTTCGATTTCTCTGGTGCAGTGTTGATGTCTGTGTAGGGCTAAAGCTGTGGCGTCTACAGGTTGTTGGGGCTCGCTATTGTTTCTCAGAGCACTATGAGACATTGTTGTGATCGGATCCCAGCCGGGCGGAGCCAGCCAGGCGTAAATGCAGCCCGTCCAGTGTGTTCGCATTTAGGAGAAAGAGCCACCCAAGGGGCAGAAACGTCATGACTCATTCTGAAGTTTTCCATCCACTGAACTCCGCTGAAGGACTCGGGCACGAACCGCTCCCAACAATCATCCTCCCTGAGCTTTGATCTGTAGTGAAGGAGTCGCCGCAGTTGTGTTGAGAGCAGCTGCAAGAATGAGCTGCTGTCACTTGTGACTCCTAAAAGTCACAGGAGACAACTTATTTTAGACTCATGACAAACCAAATAGATGATGCAATATTTGCTTTTGTGGACAATGACAATCGACTCACCTGTTCTGTATTAAAGAGCCCATATTTTGTTTTTGGGATTCCCTTTAGTGTTGAGTGACTTTTTGTGCATGTGAAAACTTACGAAACCCAAAGTCCACACCAAAGGGAGTCACTCTGTCCCACACAAAGCGTTGCTCTATACCTTTTTAGGAGGCGGGCCTTAAAGAGACAGGAGCTAAAACGGAGCGTCTTAGTTACTGGGTGAGAAGAGGCGTGGCAGCAATGTACAGTATGAGAGAGTTTTCTGAACATTAAAGCATCTAAACATATTCTAGTGGACCCCAAAAATAAAAGTGTAAACCTGTGAATGTGCATCATATGGGCTCTTTAAGTCTGGTGTGTCAGAGGAAAGTACAGATGAAGCTCATTAATATCTGGTGAAGAGGTACGGGGTTGCTTTTGTGGCATAAAATGTCATTATCAAAAAATATATCATTTTTGATATCCTTCATTGCATTTTAAAATACTGAGCGGGTTTCTTAAAGCAAAATAGCCTCTCCCTAAACTGCTTCTAATGAGATTTAGTGCGTAGAAAGTATGACTCCTAATGACAAGTAAAAGGGAGGATTCAAGTGTATTTGAATGGAAAAAAGCAGTCAGTTCCACATTTGACCCCTAAAGCACTGAGCCTCATGGAAACACAAAGGTCACCGCTATGTTCAAACAACCACCAAATCCAAATCAGCTGTGTATGTACATTAAACTACTATAATTGAGAATTCAATGGAAAACTGTGCCAAAGGCAAAACCACAAGCTGGCTGGCGTTGCCCTCTTTTTTTAGAAGAGGATGTTTGTGCTGGTGGGATCCTTTTTTTTTTTCATTTTAGGGCTCAATCAAAACAGAGCCAGTTGGGAAATGGAAAATTGTGATGCCCTTTCAAGGACAGTTTGGGCCAAATATATAAATAGCATTTTTACTGTTTAAATGTGACATTGTGCTTCACGCCGCACACAGACACACTGTTCCCACATATCACGAGCAACGGAGCAAACGTATCCTTGCTCCACTTTTACAACAAATTCAGCATGATTTAATAAAGTCATTGCTTTGAAATGTCATAACATACAAGTGTCTGACTAAATATATAGTCTTACTATCTGTGTTTGAATATCCTGAGAATAAATGCGGCCTCGCTGCGTTTAATCACAGACCTCTGAGTCACATCTGGCAAACTGCGTTGCAAACAAACTGGCCCAAACAACCATTCTGCTGTGTTTGCTTCGGCTCGAAGTTACTGGTAGGCTCTAACTCTTGTGTGGATGACAGCTGGTGAAAGAGAGAAGCTCGTGATGAGCCGCGCTCACTAAAGGCATGGAAGTAAACGTTGCTGTGCCCGACTAATAGGAAACAGAGGCCCGTTGGCAGGGAGGAGCCACAGTGTGGAACATCTGAACAGCTCGTTATTCGGGATATTCCGATGGAAAGGCACAGTTTAAAACAGCGTGACTAGTGATGATGAAAACACACCATTTGGCCAAAAGCATATCTGACAGAATCACATGTAGGCCCTGTTTACCCAGCGCTAATGTGTGATCTGTGTTTGAATACAGTATCCGGATAGTGACATATGATGCCTTTTTGTTTACAGCTGGTATTAATTCATGCTGTCTCCATTATGTCCCTTGTTTTTCCTTCTATGGATTCAGTAACCAGATGTTATACACACATCAATTATTCATACGCTGAATTGGCGACATTACATACCCACATACTTGGTTTTATATTTGTGCCACATTTTTCGCTCCATTCCACACATTCTTCCCCTGACCTTTCATTTTTCTTGCTGCTGTTTTTCAGGTGAGTGTGCTGACCACCCTGGAGCGGCGGTTCAACCTGCAAAGCGCTGACGTCGGAGTGATAGCCAGCAGCTTCGAGATAGGCAACCTGGCGCTGATCCTGTTCGTCAGCTACTTCGGGGCCAAAGCGCATCGGCCCCGTCTGATCGGCTGCGGGGGCATCGTGATGGCGCTCGGCGCTCTCCTTTCCGCCTTGCCCGAGTTTCTCACGAAGCAGTACGAGATCGGGGAAATGTGGAGGACTGACGCGGGTCGGGACGTTTGCGCCAACACCAGCAGCAAGGAGGCTCAGCTGGCCGAGGACGCTGTGTGCGCCAACAAGGCCAGCACCAACATGATGTACCTGCTGCTGATCGGTGCCCAGGTCCTGCTGGGGATCGGAGCCACGCCGGTGCAGCCTCTGGGGGTTTCCTACATCGATGATCACGTGAAGAAGAAGGACTCCTCACTCTATATAGGTGAGTCATATTTGTAAGACTGCAACGGATGAAATGCTAAAAATAAGCATTTCACCCTCTTTAATCAAAGATAGGTTACATGAAGGAAAGCTGATAAAAAAATGACTGTTAAAAATAAACAGTGTGCAGGAAACAGATGATTATCACAGTGGAAATTAAAAATCCATTTGCCGCAACACACTGATTTCCCAAGGCAACCGAAACTAGTCCAGCGGAAAGTCAACCACAAACGTGTTCATCGCCATCAGGTGCGATGTTTGCATAGTCTGAGTCAACACAGCAGACGTGTGTGCTCTTCTGCCGCACACCATTTCCCTTTTGTTCCGAGCGTGCTCACGTGAGTGCCAGGTGAGCACATCTTGGAGCTTTTTTAATCTCCATTACGGCGGTTTAAGAGGGGAAGAGGCCAGATATGGCTGAAATGTGTCTGCTCAGTGCTCTCTCAAAGGCATGATGCTGCTGATGTGGCTCTTCGAGGGTTTCAAGGCGCATTCAAAGTGCTTTCTGGGCAAAATTCTGAATGCACAGTGGCTGTTTAGGGATGTGTATTAGCAGAGACACGTATATTTTTGCCGTATTGATATATAGAATGCAATTTAATGCTTTGCTGTGCCTGAAGGTAAAAAAAAAAAATCAACCCACTAGCACATTTAAAACTCTTTTATTTACATGTTGCGTCTTGTTTGTGTCGCTGGTGCTAAAACTGAAGTGCAGCATCAACAATTTCACCGAGATGATAGCGGCATTGATGTGCTCGTATATCTCAGCAGGAAAGTCATTAGAACATATGCCAAAATGTCAAAGTATTCCTTAAGGAAAAAAGAACTTCCATAAACTAATGCTTCTACGTGTTCAATCTTTCCTCTTTACCTGTGAACCACAGCCACATATCATATAATCGTATGCTTCCTAGTTGTGGCTGTGCCTGTAATTTGTCGTCCAGTCTGCCACATCAACCTTTTATGGACTGGATGAGATGTGTCTGCGTAGTGCGTGATGTTTGTTATCAGTGTGGAGCAGAGACAATGAGAGGCTGAATGTAGGATGAGTTCAGGCTGGCACACACCCTTCCTGATACATTCGCACAGCAGCAAGCTGTGTGGCTGCCTTTTGTCACTCACATACAGATGTGACCCGCGAACAAAGGCAGCAGTGTGCTCCGTAATCTCAAGCCCAGAGCTGATTTTCTTAATTGCCAGTCATTGTGTTTATTTGTCCTGAACACGAGCTGTTTTTACACACAAAAAAAAAAGCACCTCGAGCTTTGTTTGAAACAATAAAGATCCTGACAAAGTACCACAAAAGCCTTTGACATTTTCGCACCACCGTGCAGTGGCTTGTTAGCGGTTTATGGTGGGAAGTGGACTGTGAATGATTGAAGTTTGGCAGGCATAAGAGGGAGAGATTTGGTTCTGTCCTCCTCTGATAAGCTGCAAGGAGAGTTGGAGGAAAAACAAGCGGTGAGCAGCGAGGAACAATGTGGTATTGAGTCGTGCTCAGCTGATCGTCCTAATCCTTCTGCTGCAGGCATGTCATGTGCCCTCAGCTGCATGAATGGCGTAGATTGTCTGAAATTCTGTGAGATTTCCTTTCATATACTGTTATGTATTTGGATTATTCATCAGTTTACGTCAGCATTAACATTGTTACAGCGCAGACGCCGAGTTGTGCTTTGAAACGCTTTGTTGTTGTTGCCAAGAATTTGCTTATTTCCTGCAAGTTTTGAACAGGTTCTGTTTGCTTTGTCCTCACTTCAGGCTCATATTTCATTTTTAACTCCCCGTAGACACGCTCGTGAATAAATCCCATAGTGTTATCAAGTCCACATCATGAGTTTATTTAATTTGCAATATTCAGCACATGAAAGTAATTCAACTCATCACCCCTGCAGAAACGTTTGAGGTTTTGTGAAAGGTTCTGCAGGGCATTTTTGCAGCGGTGTTGGAAAAGCCGTTAGAGAGAAATTAGAGAGGAAGCACCTTTACAGACTGAAAACAGAAACTTTACTCTGACGCGTGCCTCTCACAACAGATGCCAGCAGACGTGCCGTATTAGCACGTAGAGTAAAACTTCCTCCGGTGTCGTTCTGCCAGATTAGTGTGTATCAACATGCGGTGCGGCATGTGGACTCTTCCACACCTTCAAGTGTCGAAATGTACTAAATGCAAAACGGGGATTTAAAGCAAAAGCATTATTTAATTCACTTTAGTCATTCACTATCGCGTGATTAGAAGTTCAGCGCGAGGTTAAAGTTGTCAAGATTAAGCCCGGTTAATGATACGCGACACCAAGTGAAACTGATGCTGTTTTTTTTTTTTTCTTAGCAGGACTGTTGCCCGATGCTGTTGTCAAAGCACATTTTTACCCGGCGATGAGTTATTGTTTAAATTAAAGCCCGAGCTACAGTCTGAGCATCCAGGTGAAGAGTGTACGCCTTCTGAGGGAGGCAGGTCCCACCCTGTAACATTACGGCGGTGCAGGCAGAGCATAGCACAGAGGCCTGGAGAAGAGCCATAATTACAGAGTGAGGCAGGAATGCCAACCAGCCAGCCATGAGGTGGGTCTGAGTGGGCCGGGACGCACATGCATACCACACAGGCCTGTGAAAAACAACTCCTCCAGAGGCTCCGACTGCCTGCTTTTACTGTGTATACTGCAGCAGACATGTCTCCCCGCTGTTTGAACAACTGTAAAACACACTCAGGCGAGGTCTGCTGCGACTCTCCAGAGAGCTTTTTGTCTCTCTCTGGTTCACTGTCATTGTTTGGGGTTTTTCGGAGCTTGTATTGTTAAGTGCTACACGTTCTCGTTAAAAGGAAGCACTTCTTTCAGCGTTCTCAAGAAACCGACTCGAGTGCCACCGCCGCCGCCGTCGCACTTTAAGAGCAGAGTGGAACATCAGCGCGCATTATTTGGGATGGTGTTGTTTTGGTTTCCCTGAGTCTAGACGTAGGCACTCATCGCTGGCCAAAGGAAATAAATATGATTGGACAAATTGCGTCAACAGGATCTCCATTCCCACTGCTCTATGACCTTTCACTATCCACTGCTAATTCTGGCTCTTCCCACAGGACCCCCGACTGCATAAATATACTGTACAGGACACTCATAGAGGGACTCGGAGCTGACGTTGTGTATCATTCAGCACAAACTTAACCCAGCTGCCTCTCTTGGTTTGAGAAGCTTTTAAACAGCCTGGGATTTCTTCATTAAACTGTAATGCAAAGTAGGTAGTGCCTGCAGTACTGTACATACAGAGGTAGACTGAAAGTATGGCATTAATTAATCAGGGTCAAGACTTGTTATGTAAAAACCCACAGATTTTCACATGTGGATGTTTCTTTTTGCAAAATAAATATACCATATAACTGCACAGATACAAAAGGGTTGAGGGACTGGAAGCTTTTCAAAGCACTTCCTGCTGCAATAAAATGTTCGCATCATCGGTACAGACAAGTTCAAAGTCTAAATTGCATTTTTTTTTTCCATGTTGAAACAATATTGTATCTGCTATGCAAATTATATTGCAGGACTAAGTCTGCAACGAGGGCAAAGCGATAGAGCTGAAACATTTCTTATGATGAAATGTTATAATAATTTCAGGGTATATTGATAGTTACTGATTTTTTTTTTTAACAACTCGTTGTTTATGAATACCTGGAATAAAATGGTTTAATTTGAATTAACCACTTTAGTCGCTACATGCTGCTTTTATCTCATTTCTCTATTCCCCATGCTAACATGGCCACAGTGACAATACCAGCATGCTGATGATTTTGACATATAATCATGACCATGTCCCCCATCTTAGTTAAGTGTGTAAGGATGCCAACATTTGCTTATTATTATTATTGCAAAAACATTTTGCAGGTGTTTGGTCATAAACATAGACTAGATAAATAAGATGTAGCTTACAGATCTTAGAAATCACGGCAACGCAGAAGTGCTGTGAACTTGCATTCTCTCTAATGACCAGCAGGGGGGTGAATCTGCTGCTTGCAAGACAAGTCCAATTTTATACAAGTCTATGACCAAATGACACTACTTCTCACTTGATCTGTCACCTCAGTGAACATTTTTGTAGTCAATTTGTGGTCTCAATTGATAGTTTTACGTCTCCTGCAACACGGTGTGATGTTCAGTTTGTAAATCGTGGTAGCATTTAGAGTAAAATAGACGATAAAACAACCAAATTCCACTTCATACCAATGACTAATGCCACGATTGCGGGGTTCATCTTTTATATACAGACTAGGATCATAAACCAAAGTGTTGGACGAAGTCTAGTTTTGACCTCCTGGTGGCGCTACAGAAAAAGTCATTTATGAAGTTAGTAGAATTTCTCCTGTGAGCACCATGGAACTCATACTGATGGTTGTTGAGATATTATAAGTAGTTGACTGATCAGCCAGCGCTGCAGTGCCTGGAGCTGGACATCTAACGTGGCAGGTAAAATTCTCCACCTAAGGGAGGAAATTATTATTTCATGTTTAATGACTTCATGTCAGTGCCTCTTATATAATGTCTCCATCTACACAGTCAGTCTTTATACGCCCGATCGCTTGTGTCATGTTTCTGTCACTGACTCACAAACCACTTACACAACAACAACAAAAAAACAGCTGACTTGGAACAGCCCACATAAGCTTTTTAGCTAATATCTCCTTCTTGTATGCAAACATGGGCATGTCTTGCATTCCACCTTGGCTCGTCGGACGGGCTGCCGAACAAACATCCACAGGGAGTAGTGGATGTTTGTTTGCCTGCTAGCTGTGGCCCATTAAACAGCTTCAAAACATATCTGTCAAGATCAGAGCGAAAAGCGAACAAAACCTGTCTTTGATTCGTCAGCTGCATTTATGAGCACGTATTTGTTCTCCAGCTCAGCTGCCAATCAAACGCGTGCACCAGTTCACCCACTCAAAGGCTCCACTGCTGCAGGAGCATTTCCAATTTATTTTTTATTTATTTAATAAACGCATATTAACAACACATATTAT